GCTGCTTCAGCTGCTTCAAATAACACCAAACTTGGCCTGAATCGTTAATGGCATTTTTAAATGTGCACCAAGATATTATTTTTTATTCAATAAAAACAAAAGGAGAGTATATATGTAAATGCCAGATGCATTGGTCTTCCTCAGAAAACTCACAAATTTTTGTTTTTATTTCAGGTCATATGTAATGCCTTATGGTATATAACAGACAAACAGACAACTATAAATGATGCAGCACTCAATACAAACATGTTTCACCAGTCCCACCGCCATTTGATCAGTATACAGGTTATAATGATACAAAAAGGAAAAAAGATTAAAAGTCAGCCGATATCAAGTGGCCTTTTGAAATCTCATGCTGAAGCACTTTTCAGTTCACTAGAGAGGCCATTTATGAACTCTTCACCTGCATGGAAGGGAATGGCAAAAAATTAGAACTCTTGGCTGAATGCTTTTTAGGATATAAAAAGTATTTAGATGAAAAAGCCAAGGAATCAGAGGAAAACAGGAATAGTGATCATCCAGTAAGAACAGTAGATAAACACGCCACAGTTGAACACAGAAAAGGAGCACTGTTTGTGAAATCCAAATACTCAATGATTGAAAAAGTAGTTAAAGAGGCAGGTGAGATGAATCCAGTAATATTTGATGAAAGCAAGCATTTGGAGAATCCATTTGAAACCAACTCACAGAGATTCCGTTTCTTTAGTGAACTTCAGTTTTCTTTTCCTATTGATATTATCAGATACTGTCCCGATGGATCAATATTTACAACAGTTTGCTTAGTTCAGGTGGCACCCAACCGAACAGAAGCTCAACTTTTAACACAAGGAGCAAGGATGGTACAAAAATTGAGGCCTCAATTAAAGGAATATCACACAAGAGCACAGAAAAAGGCATTCAAAATGAAATTGAATAACATTGCCAAAATACAACCCAACATTAATTGTTGATTTCATATATAATGAATTAGCACTTGATGGGTCAACTGCTAATCACCCTGATATGCAACAGAGACTCAGATTGATTTTTTTAGGAGAACAAGGACTTATACCAGATTTGCGTCATTTGAACCCAGGTCGTCCCTCTAATAAATTTGACACTTTTTTGAAGTGTTGGGGAAGATGGTGGAAGAAGTCACGGTTGCCGATGATAGGAGACATGGGTTTGCTCATATGGCACAATGGATATCATTATCAGATATGATAAAACAAGCAACAAATAAATGTCCCCCAGACACCTTGATTCCATCAAAAAGTCTTGTGCGACTCCAATTTGCACCTACACACCCATATACCAAAACTGCAATGAACTTCACTTCTCGCCTCAATGTCCAACATAAAATTCAGAGAAGGCAGTTGAGAGTTCAACATCCAGATGACCACTATTGTGCTGTGATTTTAAAATACTTAAAATGCAAATCAGTTGAAATGGAAGACGATGTTATGCTTTTCTTTTGTGACGACAAAGCGAAAGTTCCTGTGGGTAATCCAGGAAGTCCTGTATCAACTGGAGTCAGAGGGAGACAGAGTATTGCCCCTGTGACAACTGAGCTTGTAGCCTTGGATCATGATATGACTTCTGCATCATTGACACCAAGTGTTGCATTGCACTGTTCTATTCATTTGTTCGAGGACAAGTATATATTGCAGTAAATGATTCAGTATTTCAAGCTTCATCTCCATTTAGACACGCAACAATGCTGAAGAAAATTATAGACGGAAAGTATAAAGAGAAGATACCTAGTGTTCTTTTAAAGTATACTGATGGTGGCACGGACCAACGTAACACCTTGGAATCTGTGAAAATAGCAAGTATTTGCCTTTTCAGAGAGTTTGACTTGGACCTGCTCATAACAGCTAGATGTGCACCTGGGCATAGCTACAGGAATCCTGCAGAGCGTGTCATGTATGTACTGAACTATGGTCTCCAGAATTGTGCAACAGAAAGGAAGATTTTGGATGAAAAAACTGAAGACAAGTTAAAGAGAATAAACAGTATGGCAGAGCTAAGGAAGCATCCTGAATTGAGGGGAAAATGGACTGAATCCATCGAACCAGTTCAATCAGTAATAAGAAACCGGTTTCAGAAGCTCTCGTTGAAAGATGAACCGATGACAGGTGTTGATCCAGCTACTGATGAGGAAATAGAAATCCTTAAACGACATGCACGAGAGTTATTTCCTAACCTTGATCTGACAAAGCTGCAAAAAATCCATACAAAGAAATGCAAAGAGTATAACGAATGGAAAGATAAGCACTGTCTAGAAACAATGTACACATTCCAGATCAAGAAATGTTTGGATGAAAATTGTTGCTTGCCTCGGAAATTGGACAGTGAACATTTGAAATGGTTACCAAATCCAATGTTAGATGAAAGTAAGGAACACTTTCAGTCATATGAAGTTCTGAAAGAAGCTGAAACTACAGAAATTGATAGACCTTCTCTAAAGATCCAAAAACAGCCAAAGCAAGGTAGATGTAGTGAAAGAAAAGAACAAGACAGTTGTTAAGCAGCTATGAGTGAAAGACTATTAACAGCAATTGGAACAAATGATACACAGGATACTACTGATAATGAAGAAAACCTAACAAAAACAATTTTTGTTGAAGTTAATCCCCAACTGGCTTTTTCGACTCAAAATGCAAGAGCTATTGCGTCATGTGTTGAATGTTCTAAACCACGTGCTATATATTCTAAGTCAAAGCTAAGCCAGAGACAACAAGTACTTGTAGCATCAAGTCTAAGTGAATTTGAATATACTTGTGGCTCATCTATTTCCACCGACTGTGTCTGAATCAGTTCGGAAAAATGTAACATGCAGACCAAACTTGCAATGTGTGACGCCTGTAGAAATACCGTATTACACATCTGGACTAGGACGAAATGATATCTGTGTTTACTGCGGAATAGAAAATGCCGACATCGATGCTGAACTGAAAAAGAAATTTAAAACGGTTCTGCCATTGTGTGATAGTTGTCAGAAAGACGGAAAAACTCCATTTGTGCAAAGGGCATTTAATTAGGGCCCCACATGAATTTTTTTGTTTTATTAAACATTACCAAGGTGTCACTTCCTCTGAAAGCCCTTTATTAAATAGCAGGGCTCTGGTTATGTCGGTTTTCTAGTTTAATTAATTAAATATATAAATAAAAATTAGTCTGGATAAAATTCATTTATTCGTTTATAAACTTGAATATAAAAATGTTGCACATCAATACAGTGGAAATAGTGATCTGAAACCTTTTTTTGTGCATAAAAATGAAATTGTTTGATACTTAAAATTAAACACGAACAAGGATCAAGTACAATATATAAATATTTTTAGTAATTTTTAATTTAAAAATATTTGTTTCATAGTCAAAACCTAGGGTGCTTCCTATCAATCTTGATTTAGTATTTTTATCTCACCACATATACATGCCACCTGCAAAGCAGTGCTAGGTTGCATTAAGAAAACATTTTGTACAATTATTTAAAAAAAAAAAATCCCTACCTACCTACCCTAATTTTTTTGGAGTGTAACCGGAACCACACATATTTTTTTTATTTGGCCATATCCGAAATGAAATACCCACACCAGACGTAGCGAAATCATATACTCACCTTCAGGACATTGCAGATGACATACCTGAAGTTGATGAAAACATTCCGATTCTCATCTTGATTGGCCGTGATATTCCAGAAGCGCACCACGTAGTAGAACAGCGAACAGGTGCCAGAAACTTACCTTGAGTTGGGTGATAGTAGGCGAATCATGTTTAAACAAGGTTCATCATCCCAAATCTGTTGTAGTGAACAAAATTTACCTGCTACCAAATGGGAGGACAACCATGTCCTAATGACATACACGTAGAAGTCCACAATAAAGATACTGGTCACTATTCTCAAGATTTGGATTCTTCTATTTTCATGAAAAAAAAAGGATGACGATACAGTTGGTCTCTCGGTAGACGATAACAACTTCATCAGAACCATGGATCAAGATGTTCATCTCGGTGTTGAAGGTAATTGGGAAGCTCCATTGCCATTTAGAGAAAAGCGACAACTACCAAACAACAGATTGTACGCACTCAAGCGAGCACAAAATTTGGATATCAGTCTCCGGAAAGACCCAACAAAACAAGAACATTTCATGTCCTTCATGAAAAAGGTATTTGACAACAACCACGCAGAAATCGCACCTCCTCTTAAGGAAAAAGAAGAGTGTTGGTATCTACCCATATTCGGGGTATACCACCCTAAAAAGCCATCGCAAATCAGAGCTGTATTTGACTCCTCTGCCAAGTTTCAGAACATTTCACTAAATAAATGAAGTACTTCTTTCTGGTCCAGATTTGAACAACAAACTTCTAGGTGTACTCTTGCGTTTCCGGAAAGAACCTGTAGCTGTAACAGCAGACATTGAGTCTATGTTTCACTGTTTTTTAGTTGACGAGAGACACAGGAACTTCCTCCGTTTTTTCTGGTACAAAGATAATGACATAAACAATCAGTTGATAGAGTTCCGAATGCGAGTTCACGTTTTTGGAAATTCGCCTTCACCAGCTGTTGCTGTGTATTGCCTCCGGAAGGCTGCCTGTGCCAAAGAGGATAGTTTCGGACCTGATGTGACAGATTTTGTAAGTCGAAACTTTTATGTCGATGACGGGTTGATTTCTCTTCAAACGGCTGATGAAGCGATCGACTTGCTTACACGAGCTGCTCTTATGGTGGGCGGTAATCTGCGTTTACATAAGGTAGCATCAAACGACAAACATGTTATGGATGCGTTTCCACCTGAGGACAGGGAAAAGGACTTCAGTGATATTGATATAAGTGTTGGCGAACTTCCTATGTTAAGGAGCTTAGGGTTGAACTGGGAGCTTAAATCTGACTCATTCACTTGTCGTTTATCAATGGGAGAAAGCCCTTTCAGTAAGCGAGGACTGTTGTTAACAATTAACGGGATATTTGACCCATTGGATTCCTTGCGCCAGTTGTAGTCTCAGGAAAAGTCTTGATGAGAGATTCGTTAAGAGGTTCGTACAATTGGGATGATCCCTTACCTCCTCATCTATTGGACAGATGGTCTAATTGGAAAGACTCTTTGAAATCCCTTGAAGATGTGCATATTCCAAGAACATACGCCCCCATCTCTCTACAAGAGACCTTGTCCACGGAGCTTCATATTTTCTCGGACGCCTCGGAAACGGCCATAGCCTCAGTGGCCTATTTGCTTACAGTTGATGCGTCAAACAACATTCATGTGGGATTTGTTTTGGGAAAGTCTAAGCTCGCACCGATGAAAGGACATTCTGTTCCACGCTTGGAACTCCGTGTAGCAGTGATGTCTGTCCAGATATATGATATTATCAGTGATGAACTTGACATAAGCTTCAACTCTGTGCGTTTTTACACCGACAGTCTCGTTGTTCTAGGTTATATACATAACCAAAGCAGGCGATTCTATAAGTATGTAGAAAACCGGATCGAACGAATCAGGAAGTCTACGACACCTGACCAATGGAATTATGTTCCAACCAAGTCTATTCCAGCAGATTCTGGCACGAGAAATGTGACTGCTGAAGACATTATCAACAACAGGTGGATCTTAGGCCCACCTCAACTCAGAGAACCAATTGAAGATAATCTCAATACAGAATACCATCTCTGTGATCCTGAGAATGACACTGAAATTCGCAAGATTAGAGAGGTTGAAACTCTGAAAACAACTACAGACAACAAAAATGATCAACTTGAGACATTTCACATAAGTCATAGCTAGGCTGGAAAGATTCTCTACTTGGAAAGTATTAGTGAGATCCATAGACCGATCGAGAACACTATCTCGAAAGTATCACTCTTCTAAGGACCTTGCAGTCTCAAACTACTTCGCTTTCTTCTGAAGACCTCATCATACGTATGGTCCAGCAGGAGGTTTTTGCGCAGGAGATTATGTGCTTGCAATCGCAAAAGCCATTGCCCAGAAGTAGTAGCCTCATCTCTTTAAATCCAGTTATTGATGAAAACGGTTTGCTACATGTGGGAGGTAGATTGAAGAGAGGATAATTGAGTATCAACGAGAGACACCCACTTATCATTCCGAAGAATCATCATGCAACTGTCTTACTAATACGTCATTTTCATGAATTGGTAAAGCATCAAGGGAGACATTTCACAGCTGGGGCACTGCAATCAGCAGGACTCTGGATTATAGGAGCGAAGCGCTAATTATCTTCACAGCTACACAAGTGTGTACATAAAGTGCCGTCGACTACGTGGAAAATACCAGAGTCAACTGATGTCTGACTTACCAGCAGACCGAATACAACCATGCCCTCCTTTCACTTACATTGGGTTAGATACTTTTGGGCCATGGACAATTTCAACTCGCAAAACTAGAGATGGAGTGTCGAACAGCAAGCGATGGGCCGTACTTTTCACTTGCTTATACACCAGAGCCATTCATATAGAAGTGATTGAAGAACTTTCGTCCTCTTCTTTCATCAACTGCATGCGAAGATTTATTGCTCTCAGAGGAAATGTAAAAGAAATCCGATCTGATCGTGGATCAAATTTTGTTGGAGCAATTGATGATCTAGACGTCAGTGCCATAAATGTGGAAGACAAGCCTGTTCAGGAATTTCTATCAGATCAGAAGGTGACTTGGATCTTCAATCCCCCACATGGGTGGAGTGTGGGAACGCATGATTGGGATTGCCCGGAGGATACTCGACTCAATGCTCATGGACTTGCATCTCTCAGTTGATTCGATACGCAAGAGCATGCTCTACGTATGTACAATTTCTAAAACGAGGTAAATTATCCACAAATAAGTTGATGAAACAAGAATATCAGCTGTCTCGTTTAAAGTCATCATTTCGTAAGTTCTATGGTCGATACAATGACCTTATCAGCAAATACAATTTATCATTGAGTCAAATGCTGACTGACGTTTTTCACACTAATTGTTAGGCCATTATTTACACACTGAATTGTCGACGGATTTTTCCGTTATTTCCTGATCATGACAAGGAGCACATGGCGGGTGTGACCGGTCGGCAGGGGATGCTCACTCCTCCATGGCACCTGATCCCAGCTCTGATGTTTGGAGGTCCGTGTTTGCTCTGCTCCTATTTTGTATTGATTAATGGACTTTTGAGCTTGAATACTGTTCGTTATCTCCATATATTTCATTCAAAACATCTTACTCATGATTTATTGACAACTCTTATGGCCGAAGTATGTGCCATCGTTAATTCCAGGCCAATCGTCCCAGTGTCGTCCGATTCAGAAGCCCCTATGATTCTCAGCCCAAACATGTTGCTGACTCAGAAAACTTACAACATTCCGACGAATTTTGGACCATTCAGCATTGAGGATATGTATAAATCACAGTGGCGCTGTGTTCAACATCTGGCTAATATTTCCTGGGAGCGCTGGAAAAAGGAATACCTACAAACACTTCAAATTAGGCTTAATAGGCAAAATATCTTACCTGATCTCTGTGTTGGAGATGTGGTTCTCGTGAAAGACTCAAGCACTGCAAGATGTGAGTGGCCGATTGGAATCGTAACTAATGCAATCAAAAGTGCTGACGACAAAGTGCGTAAAGTGGAAGTGAGAATAATGAAGGACGGCAGATCCACGACTTACGCAAGGCCAAAATCAGAACTTGTTCTTCTGATTCATGAGGACTGAGACTTAACCTTTCTAAACAATTGCAATGAAACTGTATCATATGATATACATGTCTCAAAAATTTGTTTATTACTTTATTACAAGTAGAAACCTGTGAATTATCCATTTCATATTTTATATATATTAGTGATATTTTCAATATCAGGTGGGGAGTGTGGTGGATTTCATTACACATATTGCGCTCCATAGTTCTCAAATAGAATTATCTCCCTTCATAGTAAGTAAACACGTGGAAGCACCACGCTCGGAAATTTCAGTTTTGGAACTTGTATGCCACAACAATGTATGTATTTATAAATTTACTGATATTATAATATTGTTTAAGTAACATGAATATTATTACAGCAAGTTTTTCTTGTGAAGAATTGCATACAGATGATTTACGGTCGCTGATGTTGTCAACATGTTACTATTCACCCGAGCTATTTTTGGTTTTATTTTTTAGGATGTAGCTCTGTAGTTAACATGCTTCTTATCATGTCTTATATTTGTATATCATAATGTCATTTTTGTAAAAGAATTATTCATATTGAGTAATTTTCCTATTCCCGTGATTTTCAAGATTTTCTTACTATGGAACGCCGTTTGTGTCAAAACTTTTTTGCATGTATAAATTTAACTTAGTGTTTTTATCGATAGAAAACAACCATTTGAATGTGACTTTCTTTATTTTGTAGCTTTTTACCTGATTTATTCAATAAATGTTGAATGAACTGGTTGAGACTTTCTGTGCCCGAGACAGAACAAGTAACCATTGTTATAAATCAGTATTTTTTTTATCATAATAGGCAGTCAAATTACGAGTGCTTTCAAAAATTATAAGACATTTGTCCTAGGAATTCAAATACTGCACACCTATACTTCGTTTTTACCTCACGGCCACCCAGCGCCTCTACCTATACCTTGTACCCATTACGCCAACATTCCCTCACCCCGTTCGTTCTGCAAACAACAGATGCAGTTCCAGACGAATTCCTAAGTACTGTCCAAATCTACACGGTCACATGATAGTCAATAGAGCTCTGCCGTACCACCTGAGGGAATGAATTTCACAATATTGGAAGAAGCACCTCTTCTTTATTATAACTATCCATTTAAAAATATCTGCTAAATACCCATGGGCAGAAAAGAACATTAATGATTAACATTAATGAATTTTCATATATAATCGACAGCTTTAACGCCAGTACCACAGACCCAGGGACCATGAATTTCACAATTATATAAGAAGAGACACCCTTGCTCTTTAAAACCATGTTCTTTGCTAAATATGCGAGAAAGAGAAGCTGTACAAGGACTTTATGCATTTTCATTATTTGATCAATTATCGATAGCTTGAGACAGTGTATTGTATTTGTTTACCAAAAAATTATTTGGGAACATAGGAAATAAATTCGTTATCCAGGGCCTTCGGTCTCAGGGTGTATGGAATAAAACCCGGTGTAAATCCCCAAACACCCTTGATTGATCCTGGAAAACTTAAAATGTCAAGTGAGATGGACATATTCAGGCTTGTTTCAATTTAACAGGCAATTGATTGAAAAACAATGTGATAGATAATGAGCATTACACATCTATAAAATGGTATGGATATTGAAAGCTTAAAAAATAAAATGATAATTGTGTGGAAAATTGCTCAGTTGACAGTAAGAAGCAGAGGCCTTTTTGTGAAAAAAAGTAATGTGTTACTACGTGAAAGAAATCGAACATTTTATTCTCTTTTAGTTACATCGTCTCACACTCCTAAAATCTTGTGTACGCAAGATTCATCGTCACAACAGTATATTTCTCCACTTGAAGCAAGTTGCTTCATAAGTAAACAGTCTTGTCTCTGTAAATAAAAACAGTAATGGTAAGTAATACTCCATTTGAAGTAATAAAAATTCCTTTGATACGATATATAAAACAAATTTCTTGAAGAACGGATTTCAATGAAACTTGCCTCAGCACAGTGAGTAGAAAATGGGTATCCTGGGAACGAACGCACTAAGCAGCTTTGTGTCGCCTTGCAAACGTAAGACCAAACGCAGTTAAGATTTCTGTCGCAGGAAGGACAACGGGTACCTAGGTTTAAAACAAGATGTCTTTGTGAATCATTGATGCCCCAGTATTGCAGCTCATGGCCTAGGTCAGTGTTTTCAAAATTACGTCAACTCCAAGGTAAAGGTCTTGAAATAAACAACGATGGTATCAAAATTGTGCTCTCGTGACATGGAATATAAGTGTGAAATAGGAAAGTCCTAGCAAAAACCGGGGTTTTTTTTCAACATTTTTCAAAATAGGTCAAACTAAATGGTGAAAGTCATGAGACAAAAAATGTTGTCCATGGTATCAACTCGCAAAAAGGTCTCACAAAAAATATACATTTTCATGTTTCAGGGTTCTCCATCATATCAAATTTAACTGAAGCGCAAGACTTACGCGAAGTGCAAATATTCGCGGTGATTTCGGAATCCTGAAATAAATTGAAAACACATAGCCCATATAAAACAATAGTTTAATACAAAAAATGACATTAAATATGTGGCAAAATGATTGATAAATTCAGTAAAAACAATTAATTGAAAATTTGGATGTTTCCAAAATATATGCATACTGTGAAAACGGACACCCCCCTTTAAACACATACGTACTTTAGCTGCAGATCTTTAGCTCTCTGGTTGAAAACATTCAGATAGACAAACCAGAGAGCTACAGATCCAAGCGTTGTAAAAGCCTTCGATTTCTCTACGCCTAAAGAATTGGATTTATTCATTAAACATATTTTACCCCAACTCTGTTTACTTTGTTTACCTTTTAATGGTTCCAGAGGCCATCCTTCGCCTTGGAATGTCATCGTTTTAAAAAATTCGCCTTCTGACAGCCATGTATACCTATTGGCGAGATCTCGGTATTTTGTCATGTGATAAAGGGGCATAACTCTAACTCGCGTTTCACGTGTTTACCTTCACAACAATCGGCAATCGATTCGATTTTCTTTTATTTATTTTTTTCAAAATTTAATGATTATAGAACAATAAATAATTACATTGTAATACCTTTTGGTTGCATCCAGATCTGTACATTTCAACAGATTTAATAGTCTGGAGAAGCTTGTACTTTTTGGGATTGTGGAAATGCAAAATGGTTCCCATAAGAAATCCTAGGACTGGTACAAGTGAACCAACATAACCTTAGTCATCTCTGTAATATTTTAAGTACTGAGGTATAGGACATACATAAATTGTATAATGCTCCACAAGTATAAAAAGTCAGAGAGGAATAGAAATATGAAAATACCATATTTTCTATATTATAAAAATATACTTTTTATCTTTATGTACAAATTATGATCACAATTTAATGCTGTTGTAAAAAAAAAAAAGCCAAAGTATGCAAAATTTTAACTCTCAAACCTGCAAGTAATAGAGCAACAGGTCCTAAGTTTTACTTCAATGTCCCAAATTAACAAGTTAATTACAAGGGTCAAGTATTAAACAAAAAATCCTGTTATCATTAATTTGCTGATAAACCTTTCTTTCACATGCGTATTTTTTGTAGTATAATTTAGGTATTAGTACATACCGTACCCTCTTTATTTTTGGTCTATGCAACATGTTCAAATTATTAACTTACATGTCAGCATTTTTGTTCCAACAACATGACAATGATCCTTGCAAAAGTCCTGTCAAAAGGGGCATACTATGACTTGCTTCTCGCATAACTCCTTGCCATTGAAACTCCTGTAAAGACTTTACACTTGATGGGATCTTGAGGGATGGAATGTTAACATCTTTCACCGCCTTCTTAATCATGTGCCTTAGAACATTCATTAATGCATCCCTTACGCGATTGCTTTTGTTTATCAAAATTCTCAAGACATAGTCATAGTGTGAATCTTTGGTGTACCTGCACACTTTATCTTTGAACCCCTCTTTCTTAAAAGTTTTTAAATTTAATAGATTTTACTAGGGTAGAAGTCGCACAGACTGGGGTAGAAGTCAGGCATTTTCTTTTCTCAGGAGTAAAGCTGAATTTTCTTTCTACATTTAATTCTTCTGGTTTAATGGAAGTAGAGTTCTTCTTTATGTCATGTAGACTCATTAGGGGCCGCCAGGGAAACCCAAAAAACTTTCAACCCGGAACATAAACTTAATCGCCGAAATATGGCTGAAATATTGCCGACTTGGCGTTAAACAATAACAATCAATCAATCAATCTTTATGTCATGTTTACAAATTTTAAGTGTCAATGATGCACAGTCATTACACATAAACTTTTGTGACGGTGTTAAAGGAAGAGCGATTTTTTGGTCTAGTGTCATTGAGCTTGATTAAGGGTATGGACAGTTTTGAAATTGATTTTCTTTAAAAAACCTTTCTTCTTAGTTTGAAATGGTTGCTCACAATTTAAGCACTTGTTTGGATCCATGACGGCATGCTCGTTCAATTATTGTGCATTACGTCATAGTTGTATGTCTATCACATGAACAGCATCCGTATCTTATGTAAAAAGACGGTGTGTACATTTTCAGATTAGCATATAAAACTATACAAATGACAGAAAGTATGCGTGATTAAACGCCTGTGTCGTCGATTAATGTCTAAACTAAATAAGTGAACTCGTAAAAATAGTATTCAGTGTTTATTTGTTAAGATAGAGACCGAAATCGAATCAATTGCCGATTGTTGTGAAGGTAAACACGTGAAACGCGAGTTATGCCCCTTTATCACGTAACAAAATACCGAGATCTCGCCAATAGGTATAAATGGCTGTCAGAAGGCGATTTTTTTTTTTAAACGATGCCATTTCAAGGCGAAGGATGGCCGTCTGGAACCATTGAAAGGTAAACAAAGTAACCAGAGTTGGGGTTAAATATATGTTTAATTAATAAATCCAATTCTTTAGGCGGTTGAATGCTTAATAAAGTCAGATATAATGTCCGAAGCGAGCGACAAAAAAAAAACAAAAAAAAAAAACAGAAGTCTCTGATGAGACTGTAGCTCTACTGTTGTGTACGTATAACAAAGTAGCACTTGGATTTGAAACTTTGCAACATGCAACAATAAATAGAATTATGTATCTTAATGTAGTCTACTTCTGTGCCAAGTAATATTGAAATCAAACAAAAACTGTAGGAGGAATAGCGTTTTGAAAGTATTTCACAGAAATTTCTATTTTAAGTAACCATGACAAAACCATTCACTGAAATCAAAAACCGAAGTGCATATTATGTATCGTAGTGTATTCCAATCGTGTGCCAAATTAGATTGAAATCAGACCAAAACTGTAGGAGGAGTAATGTTTTAAAGGAATTTCACAGAAATTTCTATTTTTAGTAACCATGGCAACACCATTAATCGAAATCAAAAACCGATGCACTAAAATATGTATCATTGTACAGTCTACTTGTGTGCTACGTTATCCTGAAATCAGACTTAAATTGTAGAAGTAGCGTTTTAAAGGAATTTCACAGAAATTTCTATTTTTAGAAACCATGGCAACACCGTTCATCGAAATCAAAAATCGATTCACTAAATTATGTATCTTAGTGTAGTCTACTTATGTGCCAAGTTATATTGAAATCAGACTTAAACTGTAGGAGGAGTAGCGTTTTAAAGGAATTTCACAGAAATTTCTATTTTTAGTAACCATGGCAACACTGTGCATCGAAATCAAAAACCGATGCACCAAATTATGTATCTTAGTGTAGTTTACTTGACTGTGTACCAAGTTATATTGAAATCAAACTAAACCTGTAGGAGGATAGATCATGGTGGAAAAAATGATTTGATGAAGCACGCATCGAAAGTAGACCATCAAAACAGTAGAAAATCTCAAAACAACACTCGGCTTATACAAAATTTCATGACTTCAGCTGACGAAGGTAAAACTTTAGGTCTTTCTTAATTTAAAATTGCAAATTATACTATAAAATAGTAAAAAAAAAAAAGATTTGAAGTTAAAATATATATATGTTATATATCACTGTGAAGCAAAATTTTTAAAATATCTTTAGAAAAAAATTATTCACTGCTACTAAAGTATATAATTAGTACTAGTATAGTAATAGTATGTGAAATAAATAAAAATATATTTTGTGCACAATTATGTTCACAAATAAATCTACTGTAAAATTTATGCATTTTAATATTTTAATTTTCAGATGTCATGCGTGCAGAAGTTTTATTTTCCAACTTTGTGACAGAGCACATCCCTTTCCTGGTTGCAAATTGCTTTACTAAACTCTGCAAGGCCATGTTTACAGACAGCAAAATTGCCTCCAAGTTTGCATGCGGAAGGACCAAGACAACACAGATTGTCAAACATTCCCTTGCCCCATCCCTGCATCAAGAAGTTGTCAAACAGTTGCAATCCAACCCCTTCTCATTAGCCATAGATCAGAGTAATGACAAAAACTGTGACAAGTCCTTGGCCATCCTTGAGAGATACTTCACCGACAGGTCCAAATGCCATGCCTGTCTGCAACATTGGCACTGCAGCAAACATCTTTGACCAACTGCAGCAGGTGTTTATTGACAACATCCAGTGGTCCAACCTGATCTCCTTTATTTCAGACAATTGCTGTGTTATGACTGGCAAGAACAACTCAGTGGTCACCAGAATCAAAGAGAAGGCCCCAGCTGTGTTCGACTTTGGATGTGTGTGCCACCTAGCTAACCTATGTGCAGCTGCTGGTGTGAAGGCCCTTGCCCTCCTTATTGAGGACTTGCTGGTGGAAGTCTTCTTCCATTTTTACCACAGTTCAAACACAAAGGAGCGATACAAGGAGTTCCTAGATTTTACTGACACAGAGCCCATGAAAATCTTAAAGCACTGCAGCACTAGATGGCTCAGCTTGGAGAAGTGTGTTGACCGTCTGCTACTCCACTGGCCGGCCCTTTAAAGTTATTTCAACTCTCATGAAGATGTTGAAAAGCCAGGACGAGTGAAGCGTTGTGCCTCATATCTCAGCAACCATGAAATGCACCTACACTTTAACTTCCTCAGCTTCATCCTTCAGCCCCTGAACAATTTTAACACCATGTTTCGGGCAGATGAGTCCAGGATTGGCTCCCTGAAGGATGAACTTAACATTCAATTGAGGACGTTCATGGGTAAATTCATTAATGCCAAAGTCATTCAATCTGCTGAGGACTTAACAGCTGTTCCTTTCCAAGACTTTGACTGTAAACTTCAAGACAACATTATTGCCATTGGGGTGACAACCAGAGCTTACCTTGTAGACCATGCTGATGAAATCCAGACATCAACTTTTTCCAGATTTTTTATGTCTGTTAGGAAGTTCTATAAGGCAGTGACTTCAAAGATGCTGGCAAATTTCCCCTTTAAGGGCCCTGTGGTTTCTAGCCTGAAGTTGCTTAATCCTTCAATCAGAGGAGACTTACCACCATCTATCTTGACAGACCAGCTGACCAGAAGATTTCCTTCATGGTGCCTCAAGACCAGTGGGTGCAATTAGAGGAAGTTCCTGGACTACCAGACCACTCCTGCCATGGACCTCCCCAGTTTCTCAGAGAATACTGATGTATTCTGGGGCAATTAGATTTGAGGAACAAAATCACCGACACCCCCAGGTTTGAGGAACAAAATCACCGACACCCCCAGGTTTCTACTGATGTCAAGGATAGTGAGGGCACTGATGACAATTCCTAATTCTAATGCTGAGTGTAAGAGGATTTTTTCAATGCTAAAAAAGATCCAAACAGACACTAGATCTAACCTTGACAATTCCACACTATGTGCACTACTGACTGTGAAAGTTAATAATACTCAGGAATGCCATACCCTCAGACTTTCAAAGGACCTCCTCAAAACAGCAAAGAAGGCCTGTGTTGGTTATAACAAGAACTGTCCATTCTCATCTTAATTACTTTAATGAAAAAAATGTGTCTGTGATGTATCATGTATGTCTTAAGTAGATTCACAAAAATGTCCAATTTACCAACAGTAGCTAAATTCATATAACTTGCTTTAGGTTATTTGTAAATAAAATTTAATTTTGTCATTTTTTTCATTCATGTAATAAAATGTATATGTACATCTTATTGCTTAGGGCAAGGATGGGTTATGTTGATTTCTGTATTAAATAATTGTTGATTTAAAAATGATTTTTTTAAAATTTCAAATTGTGTTTCTGTTGAAATTGATAGAGAAGAAAACACTTTAAGAGGTAAAGATAATATGTGCAACAATGAATTAGATTGGTATTTTAAAAAAAGACAAATATTAAGTTTCACGACAAAATGCGTCGAATTTAGAACTTTGAAAAATGTCGTTACGCGCAATCTCCCCCAAGGAATTTTTCAAAAGTTAGCATATATGTAAATTATACACCAGTGTTCATTATGAAGGGCAGAGAAAATTCTGGTAGGTCACACACGCTTATAGTGTATCTATATATTTGTTAGTCTGAAGACTGAAGTATCTTAAAACTTATCATTTAAAAAAAATATTTTAGCAGTTTAGAGTCAAAAAGTTATATTTTGGTGAATTTATTGCTAATTTTCAATATTACAAAAATACATGATTAGTAACAATAGACATGTTTTGACTCGTAGTGCCAACGCAATTATCTGTAGAGCTATTAATTGAAAGCATGGATTAATTGATATTTAAAATTTTATTTGTAATTACCTTGAAGTGTGAAAAAAACCCGACTTGTCTCTTTTCATTCATGTGTCCAGCGAGGACTAGAAGATAATTGATTGTGCAAGTGAAACAATGGAACCTAATCAGAGTAATTTAACAGTTAACCCGTAGAAACTGAAAGATTGTACATAACTTTGAGGTTCATTTGATTTATATATGTTTATGGTACTGACCACGACGACCTTACTGTGGTGCTAACATTTTAACTGTGGCGAAACTATGGCGCTGATTTTTTTTAAAATGTGGCTCTAAAGAATTTACTGAGGAGGGGCCGCCACATTAAAAGCCTATGGAGAACCCTGCTCATTTAATATTAAATCCCTAGCACCAACTGTTCAAAAGTTTTGTATAGGGTTAAAAAAATTAGATTTTCCTGACAGACTGCCCAAGAATCCCCGATTATTGGGTAATAAGAGCAAGTAATATTGGATATATAGAATGTTTTAATTTAAGGAATAACTGTCTAATTTTTTGGATTCATGATGTGATCAATCGAGTGGCTTGCGTGATAATTTGCATAAACGCCGAAAAATGGGCTCTAAAACCTTAGGGGTAAGGATTGACCTCAAAAAGTTTATGTTTGTGGGGTATTAGTATCCGTATCAATCAATATCCACAGTCATTGCAGTATTTCATTAGTCATTTCGGTGCATTCTACTTACATTTCGGCAGAAACCCGACATTTCGGCGTTTCGTGTCACCCTTTTGGCGTTTATGCATAAAATTATCACGCAAGCCAATCGATTGATCATCGTTATGAATCCAAAAAATCTGACAGTTATTCCTTATATTTACATGCTTCTGATTCTGCAAATTCCCGTGCTAATAGCCCCGCGTCTGTCTCTATTTGTCCCGCCCCGCACGTGATTTTTTTTAACCGCGCCTATCGATGAACCAGTAGATTTATGTAGAAATAAAGTATTTTTACAATTTGTAATTTAATCTCGTACAAAGACATTGGAAACGTAAATATTTGCATGTTAATCTCGTGTCATTAAGGTTTATATTAACCAAATTTGAACTAAATGTAGGATTTCATCAGCTCATATGATTACTTCAAGCAAAATGTCACTTTTTCAGTGTGGTCATCGTCGCAAACCACGGTCAAAATGTACGATCCTCCCATTCTGGAGAGCTTTATGCTAACCGTGGCTTGAGACGATGCAGTGTAGTTAAATATAGTTATTTTTCAAATCTCTATAAAGTAAGTTGTTTCTATTTAAACTGAAAATTAAATATGTTATTCTGAAGAAAGAAATAGGCTCGAATATTTAACAGAGGGTGTTTAGATAGTTCTAATTTGTAAACATCAACGTTCAGTAATAGCAACAATTATAAGCTAATTCAACTCTAGAAGTACCTTCCTAAAACCAAGAACATGCTATAAAAGTAGTGACACCCTCTAAAACCTCCTCCGTATTTATAACTACATGTAGTAAACACTTTTAAGCTATGCTGGTTTTTATTTAATTATGCAAAATTACATTAAGTTACAACAATGATTCAGGTTGAATGCATATGGTATGGATGATATTTTGTTCAAAATGGAATGTTTTAAATGAGGCCTTAATATATAAAACAGTTTGCCAGTAAGGTTGTCATGGCTGTAACATCTTTACCTGTAAGTGTTGTATTTTGGACTGTTTGTTTGGTTGTTGTTGAAGCTTGTCCTGTTGTTGTGGAGACCGTTGTGGTTGGCTTGACAGTTGATCTATTGTTAGTATATGGTGGATGACTTTGAGCAGTAGTATGATGATTGAGGTGTGGTACGCGACGCACTCCCGCTGAAGCTAAGGTAGTTTAAACCCATAAAAAGAGCGACGTATTTGCAACATTTAATTACCGATGTTAATTGCCATCTGATTTCAATTTAAGAAATTCTTATTGTATGCGTGAACTTACTTTCCATTACGAAAACGAGATACTTCTTGCAAAGTCGATCACAGTAGCCGATACGCTCTTTCATTCTTCTCACTGTGTTCGATTAATGAATAGTTAAGAATTTATGGAAGGTAGTATTTTTATAATCAAAGTATTTTAATTTTGCAGACTGATTTAGTAAAGAAATAATGAAGACTTTACTATTTGGGATCCACCACATTCCACCATCAAAAGCTTCCAGTGAGTCAGAAATAAAACCTATTGCATGAAACAAAAGTGCATTATGCAAGAATATATTCCTTATATCAACATAATATTACACTTTGATAATGATCAATGGTCAATATGAATCAATGTATGTGTTGCTAGTAACGAATTCTGCAATTATCATGATAAGGTCATGAGTGTAAGGTCACTTGTTTACCATAAGGCATTCTGTTCTGAATACAAATATTTACTATAGATTCATCTGTAAACTAACATCATCATCTGATCCAGACAGTCAAAATAAATAAGTACATCCTCATGACTCATGACATAGTAGTGGTGATGGAGAATGAAAACTGATATCACGATTTTTTCCGTCTAACCATCCGTCTGTATGCCCGTGTGCAAGGTTAAGCTTATCCTTTCAAGCAATTTTTGGCTTATCTCAATGAGTATCGAAGTTTAACTTCCACATGTATTGTACTTAGGGACTACTTTATGCAAGCTTGGATTTGCCAACTCTAGTTTGAGCACACTTAAGGACCCTCTCTACACTAGAGGAAAAGATTTTTTGGACATTGAGAAAATTATAGTGTGTACAGATGTAAATATTGAATTAATTTACAATTTTCACCATAGGGTACCTTGCATTTACCCCCAGGAAAAATGTTCAATGACAATGACATACTGATGTACAGAAATCAGGTGTTGACTTAAGTGGGCAAAATACCTGAAAATAAAGGTTTCAACCCATTCATTTTGGTCTATTCAAATGTTATGAATGCTTTATTTGATCACAATTGAAGTCATAATCTGCACATTTCAATTAATTTAATTCCTGATCAGAGGAGAGATTACTCTATCTAAAATAACTGAAAATCAGAACTCTTTATTGTGCAGTGTATAGAGGGCTCTTAAAGCTTCACTGTAAAAAAAAAAGTTTGCATATTTTATTCTGCGAATAATTTTTTAATGATTCATTGATTGTATCTTGTTTTACGTCCCATTCGAGAATTTTTCACTCATATAAAACGTCACCATATGCCGGTGAAGGACTTCAATTTTAGACCTTTACTCGGCACTCAAGGCCACTGAGCACTAAGGGTTCTTTATCGTGCAAACGCCTACCATGACACGTAGCCTCGATTTATCAGGTCTCATCCGAAGGACCCGCAACTTTCACTTCAAAGTGCCGAGCGCTTGGCGTAGGTGAACAATTTTTTAAGCTTTTCCCCAAAAAATCGTAATGTTCAAGTCATGATCCAAGAGTATCCTGTCTCTGTTTAAAGAATATTCAAAACATGCCCTTTAGTATCTAATCAGATTCTACGAGGTCGAAAAGTGTAATTATTCCAATGTAAATTTGCAATTCTCAAGCTATGTATGTTTTCCATTTTTTACATCACAGTTTATTGAAATATACTCCTATCGATATATTTTGCCGAATTGTGGTAACAAAGAAGTTACCTTTATAAACAGCATTACACACATTTGTAATATATCTAATATTAATTTTTAAACAATGCACATTCTAATGTTGAATGTCTGATTCCACCATTCACTTACAGGGGGCTATAGTTCAAACTACATTGTATGTTTAGAGAAAAATGTGTGGTTGAATTTCATTTATTTTACAAATAAGGCGAGATTTTGTATATTAGAACAAGATTTCAAAGTTTGGCCTTATGTTTTGTACCATAAGTTCCTAGTACCTAAAAATAAATTATAATTTATTTATTTAGACCAAATACAATACAAAATTCTAAAGCGACTCTTAGAATGTTTCCTCAGAATGAGAATTTTTAAAAAATGAATACATTACATTCACAACTTTTCCGTATTTTTCAAGATTATATATTTACCTTGAATACAGCATGGCTTACTCGGGGCATTGATGTGTGCCACAATATACTCATAAAGTGTTTGTAAAGCTTTGAATAAAAAAAAATCATAAGATTTTAATATACTGATGTTCATATTTAAAATATACTGCTATGGACATAATTGACTGCTATGGATATAATTGAATCGAAGAAGGGTCCTATAAAGAATTATACACACCATTGTCATGGTGGGCTGTATGCCACATGGTTATTAATGTGCTCATATCTAAATGGGAAAAAAGGATTAATAGGTTTAACTAGTTTATTTATCTTTATTGAAGAAATCAATGGTTTGGTACTCTTTACCCGTTCAATCTGATCAAGATCATACATACGTAAACACTCTGCGTAAGCACGTGCGCCTGAAACCATATTCAGCAGATCTATAGGTATGAAAAATATAAATGGGAAAGTACATGTAGTACCGCCATATGAAAAATCATCTTTTTGCAGAATGATTTGTTGGAATCATTTTTCACTTGTAGCATTGTAACTGTACAAACCTTGAACAACATTTCCTCCCGACATGTTTATTGCTACTCCTGCAAAAGATATGAACATACGTTAAAGCTGAAAAACTAAACATGTATATGGCGCAAGAGAACTGTCTGCTGTAGAATTCAGAGTTCAACATTTATTGTATTATTAAGTGACAGTTTAATACCATGCATTTATATTCAAGATTATCACCAGAATCGGGACCGTAGGAGGAAGCAATTGGTTTCGAGGAGGAAATGGGGGATTGAGCGTATTCCAAACTGTAATTCCTTGCCAATAAAACCCCACAAAAATTAGCAGACCTGTTTACTCTTACGATTTCGCCGTATTTTGTACGGATTTTGAGTCCAAATTACGTCTCACGGTTTGCTATAATGAAAATACGGAAATCGGGAAATCCTTTCATTTGTATTTTAGCAGCTAGTTTTTGTTATGATGTCTCAGTTTGACGCTTTTTAATCGCTAAAAAAGAGAACGATTTCAAACACTTAAGTGATGTCGGGTTGCCAAAACGCTGTGGTTTAAAATAAAAGAAACCCCTCGAAAGAAAGCAAGGTATTATGTTTTTCTTTGTTATTAAACCATGTTTATTTTTGGTAATCAGAAATGAAGTTGTTCTCTAGTAATATATGTACAATCGATGAAAAGTGAAATCTTACGGGGAAATGCCAAATCTCACTGACAAATCTAATAAAAATACTGAGAGACAACAATATGGGTAAACAGGTCTGAATTAGTTCAGCAACCCCCCCCCCCCGAATTTTTTTTTTAATATGGTAACGTTAGACATTTTCCAAGTCTAAGGGCAATGACTTTTAAATTTAGTGAAAATGGGTCAATTGGCATGATCTGTATATCATGATCGCTGTAAGTTACATGCCAAAAATCAACTCAATATCTACAAACGCAATTAAAAAGGTCTTCAAAATAGTGACAAATTCGAAATTTATAAAGTCGAAGGACAAAATCTTTTGTAAAAATTAATATATCAACCAACATGAAACTCGAACTTGATATGAATGCCAAGTCGCTTTTCTAACTTCTCCTGTAGAAAGTTTATGTGTTGAAGTAAATGAACCACTTCTGGACCTATTTGTAAGAAGAATTAAACTCGTCTTACAAACCATTGTTAAATTGAAAAACAAATACTCATGTCCGATAGCTCTAGTTCTGCTTTTGTGTTTTTCACCCGCAGTATGAAAATTTAAATGCTAAATATAAAACAAAATGTATAAAACCTAGTGATTTAATAATATCTAGTCTACAAAACAGAGGGATTCCGGCTTGCAAGTATAGTTATCTTTATTATAAAACAAACGACTTACTCTGAAATACCGCTATGGAAATTAATTAAACCAGTTGTAAAGACAGTTTAACTGAATTTTGAAAATCAAAAACAAAATAACCTTGTCTAAAAGAAATTGACCGAAATAAAACATTCGAGATCTTTCACAATACAGATGGTTCAGAATACAAAAAAATATGTAGTTGCAACGGCTGCCTTGGTTCAAAATGTGTTCTCTACAAGGATGAATCAAAAAATTTTAATGCAAAAACAAAGGCTATTAATTAATACACTTGCAACCTTTTCACAATATTTTCGGACTTGCTCTCTTGCTAACAATCCAAAAGCAGTATGAACATTGTCCACTCATATTTTTTGGATAATTCAGCTCTTTCATCTCACTCGAAAATGAAAAAAAGACCTGCTGAATTCAAAGTACAGTCATGTATCCCTAGCATCACGAAAGCTTATAGTGTTCTAAAACACTTCAGTATTGCACACTTCAAAGTTCTTGATACTGATTTGAAAGATTTAAAAAAATATATATATATATAATTTTTCTAAAACAGTTTGAATTGCCCAAATTTTACAGGTTTGAGGGGTCGTCATTTCGTGCATTCACTCATTTATACATATGGAAAGATGACTCTTAAAACCCTAATTATCAATTCTTTGAGGATGTGAATTCGTGCAAGGTACCTACGAATTCCACAAATATTGAGTCACCACGAAATCTATGGTTCCCCAGTATATGATATCACAATAAAACTAAACTGTTTTCAAAAATATAATGAATATCCTACACAACCAAAATTCTTAATTTGTGTCTCCTCCTGGTTAAGGCGTTTAGACTTGAGAGTTGGACGGGTATTAAAAAATACATCTTCAAACAATTGGACATATAGTGAAAAAAACTGATAAATAAATAAAGAAATAACCTTTTACAAAAATTGTAAAATCAGCGAGCCTTGGGTCCAGCGTTCAGGCCCAAGGCATGAAAATATATTACTCTTTCAATGCATTGTTTAATCATGGACATATAGCAGATAATAATAAAAAAAATTAGCCCTCTACCAAAATTTAAAACATCACGATTTCCTCTCGCACATGGATCAGATCTTAGGTGAAGTTTAGTCATATATTGAGAGTATATCGTTGAAAATCTCCTACAGTACACTATATCTAACTATCATATCTAGTAGGCAAATTGTCTACATGATTTAAACTTCAATGGCAAGTCCTCATAAAAAATCATAACATTTAAGTCGCTCCGGATGATGCCCAAGGTTGGAGCTAACTTTGTCATACATTGAGATTTATTGTATTTTTCGGAACCTCTGAACCTCTAGGGAACAAGCTACATGAAAATAATGATTATAGAGTCGTTATCGTACTATAAAATTTTTATCACCTGGGGACAGATTTCCAGGTGGTCATAACAGGAAAACTCGTGACCGTCAATACCTACATGTATAAGCCTCTTTGTTTAATTTAGAATCAAATTTATTTTTTTGTAAAATTGTGAACAATCTCACTAAGTAAATGAACTACAACTAGTGTTAAAATGAAAGGACATACCTAAACAACAGAGAATTAAAATGATCTTCGGCGACATTTTGTCCTAAGTCCACGAAAAAGAAAGGGACGATTAGATAGATAAGGAAATCGCAATAGATTTGGCATAGTTCTTAAATTCTCCCTACATCAGTCTTGAAATTAACCTTTGGGATCTTTTTATGCCCCCGGATCGAAAGATCCCCGGGGTATATTGTTTTTGTCCTGTTTGTCTGTTTATCTGTTTGTCCGTTTGTCTGTCTGTCTGTTGTCAACTTTAACCTTGCCCATAACTTTTGATTGGTTGGAGCTATGACTTTCATATTTCACATGTGTATTCCTTGTGACAAGACCTTTCTTTGGGTACCATCATAATGGACTTTTTGACCTTGACCTTGGAGTTTGACCCACTTTTGCAAAATTTTATGAGACTTTAACCTTGGCCATAACTTCTGAACAGTTAGTGCTTGGGGTTTCAAACTTCACATGTGTATTCCTTGTGACAAGGCCTTCCTTTGGATACCAACAACTTTGACCTTTTGACCTTGACCTTGGAGTTTGACCTACTTTTGAAAAACTTTAACCTTGGCCATAACTTTTGAATGGTTGGAGCTAGGGCTTTCATACTTCACATGTGTAATCCTTGCGACAAGACCTTCCTTTGGAAACAAACCACCACTTTGACCTTGACCTAGGAGTTTGACCTACTTTTGAAAAACGTTAACCTTGGCCATAACTTTTGAATGGTTGATGCTAGGGCTTTCATACTTCACATATGTAATCCTTGTGACAAGACCTTCCTTTGGATACCAACCACTTTGACCCTTTGACCTTGACCTAGGAGTTTGACCTACTTTTGAAAAACTTAACCTTGGCCATGACTTTTGAATGGTTGGTGCTAGGGCTTTCATACTTCACATATGTGATCCTTTTGACAAGATCTTCCTTTGGATACCAACCACTTTCACCTTGACCTTGACTTTTATTTAAAAAACTTTAACCTTCGCCATAACTTTTGAACAGTTGTATCTAGGTCTTTCAAATTTCACAGGTGTATTCCTCGAGACAAGACCTTTCTTTGGGTATAAACATTTTTTATCTTTTGCCCTGGATTTTGACTTGCATTTGAAGAAACTTTAACCTTCGCCATAAGCTGCCATACGGGGGCATCAGTGTTTCACAAACACATCTTGTTCTTGTTATATAATACACTGCCTTTAATGCAATAAAGATAAAGAATGGTCAAATTGGCCAGTGAACTGTTTTGTGCAATACTTTTCCTGTTAATTGGTTACCTTCAGATTACAACAGTTTACTGTAACGTTGATTTGAGGTGTTTGTTTGTTTAACGTCCTTTCGAGAAGTTGTTAAACATAATTTAAGACGCCAACGCTTGCCGGTGGGGGTAGGAAATTTCGCTTGTACTCGGCACTTGCGGCCTTTGAGTAGTGAGGAATCTTTTTCGTGCCAGCATCTACTGTGCACGGGACCTCGGTCTATACGGTCTCATCCGAAAGACCGATCTCCATGTGTCACAGTTGGATTCGAACCCTCGATGTAAGGATATCAACTCCTTACTCCGCGGCTCTAGAGCAAATTATTTAATCATTGATCATTGCGCCACGCGGGCTAGATTTGAGGTGACGTGGGCCATTCAGGAAACATCATTATTATTAGGTCACATGAGTCACTCAGGTGACCTATTGCTAACCGTTTTTGTCGTGCGACGTCCGTCGTCCGTCTTGCGTTAACATTTAAACATTTTCAGCTTCTTCTCTGAAACCGCTCAACCAATTTTGGCATATAGCATCTATGGGTGAAGGGGGACAAAATTTTGAATTTCATGGTCCCTGCCCCCCTTGGGCCTGAGGGGTGGGGCTAAAACCACCAAAATTAATGCAATCTTTAAAAATCTTCTTCTTTACTCCTGGATATCAAGCAGTCAAACTGTTGGCATGATTGTAATAAGCATTGAGCCCTCTACCAAAATTTTGAATGTCATGGCCCCAGGGTCAGGGGTTCTGGTGCTAGGGTGGGGCTATATAGATTATATAGTGAATGTGCATTATTTCTTTGAAAATCTTCTCTGTTCCTGGTTATTAGATAAACTAAGTACATAGATATGTTTAGCAAGACTGCCTTTTCCAAAATTGTGAATTTCATGGTCCCAGGGTCAGGGGTTGTGGTGTTAGGGCGGGGCTCTATTGATTATATAGTGAAAAATGCATTAATTCTTTGAAAATCTTCTTCTCTGCTTCTTGGTGTTAAATAATCTAACTAAGCACATAGTTATGATGAGCATGGCTGCCTCTTCCAAAATTTTGAATTTCATGGTCCCAGGGTCAGGGGTTCTGGTGTTAGGGCGAGGCTCTATTGATTATATAGTGGAAAATGGATTAATTCTTTGAAAATCTTTTCTGCTCCTGGGTATTAAATAAGCTAACTAGTACATAGTTATGATGAGCATGGCTGCCTCTTCCAAAATTGTGAATTTCATGGCCCCTGGGTCAGGGGTTCTGGTGTTAGGGCGGGGCTCTATTGATTATATAGTGAAAATGCATTAATTCCTTGAAAATTTTCTTCTCTGCTCCTGGGTATTAGACAAACTAACTAACTAAGTACATAGTTATGATGAGCAAGAGTCCCTCCTCAGAATTGTGAATTTCATGGCCCCTGGATTAGGGGTTCTGGTGTTACGGCGGGGCTCTGATGAATATATAGTGAAAATGCATTAATTCTTTGAAAATCTTCTTCTCTGCTCCCGGGTATTATTTAAACAAAGGAACGGTTTTGATAAGCAAGAATACCTCTTCCAAAATTGTGAAATTCATGTCCCCAGGGTCAGGGGTTCTGGTGAAGGGGGGGGGGGTCCATTGATTATACAGTGAAAATTCATAATTTCTTTCAAAATATTTTTTCTGCTACTGGTTATAAAGCAAAGAAACAAGTGTATAGTTATGATGAGCAAGGATGCTTTTACAATACTTTTAAAACTTGTGGTCCCAAGGGTTCTGTTGTGTCTGTGAGGGGGGGGGGGAGCTCTATTGATAATATAGTGAAAATGGGTGAATTCTTTGAAAATCTTCAACTACATGTAATTGCATAGTTATGATGATGAGGGTACCTCTTCCAAATTTGTAAATTTTATGACCCTGGGTCATGGGTTCTGGTGTTAGGGTAGGGCTGTGTTAAATAGTGAAAATTCATTATTTCTTTGAAGATCTTCTCTGTTCCTTGCATATTGGAGGCAAACAGAGTAAAAAGTTTTAATAAGCAAGGGTATTTTTACCAGAATTTTGAAAATTCAGTTAAGGTGTTTGGCTTCTGACAACTAAAATAATTAAAAATTTAATTTTTCTTTTTTAATTGTAAGAATAAACATAATTAATTATTTTAAGCCAAAAAATGCATATGTATATGATTTGGTTTACAAGCTATAGGCGTTTATGCCAAAGGGAGGTAAATCTCTCATTTTAGTAAAGAAAAAGACCAAAAATGCGTCCAACGTATTTAATATTCCCTTTAACCTAAAAAATATTTTCAAATCATTTTGACTTTTTGTTATCTTTTAAAAGTAGTCATAAGGAAAATAAATATTGATGAAATAATGATGGTAATCAACCGAAGATAAAATTAATTCTTTAAAAAAATGCACACACCCCTGTGCAAAAATTCGCTTATTTTTCATTTTGGGGGCTTGTAAAATAAGCTTGGAAAATGAATTAGAAATAATTAAAAAGTTAATTTTTTTCTAGTTAATTATTTCTTAGTTGTAGTGCTTTCAAACAATGTAAAATATTGTATATCTACATGAGTTACTTTAAAAGATATTTTCATTTGAATTTCCTCTGACCGAATTTTCCTCAAATTTTGAACAGAGGAAATTCGGATTGATTATATTTGCTTCCTACATTATTTAGCCTGTTATTTTTGATGAATTTTCCATTTGCATGAATGTATGATTGTATTAAAACTCATTCTTTCTCTTAAAAAAAGGACATTAAAATATATTAGTGAACGACTATATTTGATATTGAGGGGGAAAGAGGGGGGAGGGGGGGGGGGTATCGAGTCAGATTATTTTCGTGCCCTCTCAAGACAGAATATTTATTTGCAAGAAGACTGGATACAGATTATTAAATTTCATTCTTGGAAAAATTCTGAAAACTCTACTTCTTTGGGTTTTAATCTTTCATATTACAAAGCTGGTCTCACAGTATATAAACTTCCCAGATTAACAAAACTTAAATCTACAGTATGTAATGATGCTTTCACACAAGTTTCATCTTCTCTTGCCCAGTGGTTCTTGAGAAATTTTTTTAAAGATGCTACCAAATTCTTAATTATCTTCCCTTGAAAGAGGGCGTGGCACTCCTGTGAACAAACTTAAATCCCCTTACCCCAAGGATGCTTTGTGGCAAGTTTGGTTGAAATTGGTCCAGTGGTTCTTGAGAAGAAATCAAAAATGTGAAAAGTTTACAGACATTGTGATAGTTATCGGTATTTCAAATTGTTACCGGTACATGTAACATACAAAAAGAATCTGGGGGGATAAGACGAGCCATGTGCCCATGCCTATTTTTTGGCTATGCAAGAACATTTATTGGAAAAAATCTCTCAATTGTTCAAGTTTACTTAAGCATTTTAATGTTTACCGTAGTTTTCAAAATGATATTTATATTCTAAACAAGCTAAACAGTTGACTTCCATTTACTGTCACAAATGTCTAACATGGGTAAGGACTTCTATTAATTAATCTGCATATTGAGTGTTTACACTTATTGTGGAGATATTATAAAAATGTTAACATCGTATATAATCATAATGGTGATCTAGAAGCGCTTTTATTTAAAATAAATAAAAACGGGAATAAAAGTATTCAAATATCTATTATAATTTTTATCCGGCATTTTAAATAATTTACTGTAAATAAGTTCATTACTACATGTATATATTTTATTTCCAGTGAAAAATATATTATTCCTATAGACATTTTTTTATGAAGTAAAACAAAATTAAAACCAAAGAAAACAAAAAAAAAAAAACAAAACAAAACAAAAAACAAAATCAAAAAATCAGAGCATGACTCGAACACTTTCCTCAAACGTCCCTTTAAAGAGCTCCTCGCTAACCACTGTACCACGGAGTCACACATACATACCCATTTAAATAGCATACAGTTCTCTATATTTAGCAAGCGTATTTGGACTTAGAATTTTTTAAGACCACGGTGAAAATTTAAGTAAGTTAACTTAATTTTTTATGTAGAGTGGGTCTTCGTACCAAATATTTGCAAGTGTAAAAAGCAACATCTTTCCATTGCCTTTCATTAATCGTTCTCAAAAAAATGGTACGATGACCCACTCTATTTAAAAAATGTAGTTATATCATCCAATTTATGTCAGTTTTTGTGAAAATTGAGCGTGATGCCATTTTTTTGTGTTAATCAGAATCATTTTCGCTATTACAGTATTCAGGTTTTGTCAAATTTGTATGCAAATGGTAATAAGCATTACATTAATTCAACAAAAAGTGAAATTTTTGTAAAATGAATTTATTGATTTTTTATCGATCGTTATGTAGGCATATGGCTCGGCTTATCCCCCCAGTTTCTTTAATGGCACTGCTGTATACTGTAAACATAAAGGTTTTTTATCGTCTTTGACAGAAAGCTGCTTCCGCTATATCAAGAACATCACGAACTTTATGACGTGTATATTTATTGGTACACAATCAGAAATGTGCCAAAATCAAACCTAGCTTGACTTGTTGAAAAATTAATCACCACCAAGTATAGTGCATGCACAATATACATTTGCAGTATGTCCTTTCATATTCATTTGTGCATATTTCAATTTATGCACATAGCTTTCTTCAATAAATATCAATGAACAGAATTTAGATTCTCATGTATGGTCAATAAATCATTGTCAATTCAGTTTCTAAATTGGATTTATTTTGAATGGAAAGAAAATGTTTTGTTCAACTACAAACTACCAATAACACTAGACATTGAAACATGTTTCATATACAACAGTGCATTGCATAATTATACCCCCACTCCGAAGGAGAGGGAGTATATACTGTTTTATCCTTGTGTGTCTGTCTGTCCATAACAAATTTTTGTCGCAGTTTTCTCAGCAACCACTTATAGCAGATACTTGAAGTTTTAACACTCACTTTGTTTAGGCATGCCATATAGTAAGATTTATTTTGTACGAATCCAATTTCAACTTCCTGTTTATCTGTGCGTCTGTCAATACCATGCATAACAAATTTTCGTCACAGTTTTCTCAGCAACTACTCATCGGAGATGTTTGAAATCTTAGCACACTCTTTGTTTAGGCATGCCATTTGGTGGGATTCATTTTTGTACGAATCCAGTGTCAACTTCCTGTTTATTCCTGTGTCTGTCCATAGCTGAACTTGTGTATATTCACATCAGAGGGTATATTCACATCAGTGCTCAGAGCGGGGGCATTACTAGTACATCAACAACTCGTGGGGTTCCAATTTGAGTGAAAAATTCTCAAAGGGACGTAAAACAAACAAACAAACAATAACATACAAAGAACATCATACATTCACAAACAAATAACTGCATTACTGCTCAGACCTGAAATAATCTGCAACAGAATCAATGATTTTTTTTAGATTTTGTCACACGCACACTATTATCAGCTATCTCTGACAGCACATCCTGCACTCCCTCCCTACCATTTCTCTGATATGCAAGTTGTAAGTGGGATAAGGAGAGTCCACTGCCGGCAATCTTATTTCCCATTCCATTCGAAATTACCTTTTGGTCCAATAAAGGCCCTAGTGTACTCATTAGATGCTTTGTTGTGTTCTTGTGATGAAACACGGCAACGGCAGAGTTCAAGGTGAAGGATGCAGCAACTTTGACTTCATGGGAGGGTCCTGTATGATCGACCAATCTCTTCAAGGCTATGACATCCTGTAATGAGTCATGCGCACTGTATTTGTCTTGTAGAATTTCTGCAAAGAGGTGTAACTGCGAGTATGACGAAAGGTTTGGATGTGACATTTTGAAAAGAGGAATTGTATCAATGAAGCCAGTGACTGCAGATGAAAATGTCTCCAAAATGTTTAGTTTACTCAAAATGTTGAAGAGCACAGGAAGGTCAAACACTTTAGAGTTATGCCCAACTAGAACAACATCTGGACCCGACATCTTCATGAAGTCCATAAACTGGATCAGAGCATCTTTAATGCTGACTGTCTCAACTTCCTCATGATTGTGGTACATTTTATTGTTGACTACTTGTATTCCAGTTATTTCTGTAGCTTTTGATGTCATTGGTTTTTTTGGAATGATGTACTTGTTGAATACCTCATCATTTCTAACTGCAGATAACTGCACAATATGAGAATCCCTTGCTGAAAATAAAAACAAGTATATTCAAGTTTTTGAAATTCAAAACATAAAATATCCAAACAAATCCATTGATATATGCACTATTTCAAAAATTTTGAAACAATGAAATACTAGTGCCCCTCTTCCCCAAGCCTTAACTCCTGTCGAAAATGCTTGAACTCTTTCAGAGTATGCATTTTCTTTTAATTCAGTGTTGTCAGATTAGGAAAAGTAAAGTTTTGAAAGAATGATATAAAACATGCTCAACTACCAATACCAGAATCATAGAGGTTTAAAAACTTCTTTTATGCCATTTCAAAATATGCATTTGCTTTTATTCAATATTAGCAACAGAAAATATATAATTTTTGAAAAACATATATTACCTCTGTATAAATTATGTGCATTTAGTTTCATTGGTTTTTGTCCCACCCACAGGCCTCTGAGGTGCAAGAGCCATAACATTTAAATTCCTCTTTACTCTGAAGATGCTTTATACCAAACATTGGGGGGGGGGGGGAGCCATTAGTTTTCAGGAAGTTAAAAATGTTTATTAGTTTACACATGGCAGACAGTGGACAGGGACCAATTACAAAAGGTCATATGAGTGTCTCAAATCTTCGAAATTAATCATGTTTTCATACATTCCTTTTGCATATGCTTCCCATACATCTGGTGGATATCAATCAGGAAATAAATTTTGAGATTACATGGGTGTGATATCACAATTGTTTATGACTGAAAGTGTTGTCATGGAGTTTTGCTGCTAAGGCTTGGAGATAGAATATCATATTCAATCATATTCAACCGCAAAACATGATAGATCCTTCTTTTATAGAATTGTTTACTTGATCGTGATTCCCATATCTTGTGATAAACACTTCTTGGTGGTTTTTGTGACAAACAGATTAGAAATTTTCTTGCTGTTTACAAAATGCTGGGTTTATTCCTTTGACATGCATATAGAAGAAATACTGGAAGAGTGCCATAACCATCAGCATTGACTAGACATTCAAAACTCATTTAGGTTCTTACCGAGTCCAGTAGTTTCCAAGTCGAAATAGATCTCTTCAGCATTTAACAACTGACTTGAAGGAAGATGATCATACTTTGGAATTGTTTTTGGAGCTGGAATTTCATCAATGTCCGAGGCATGGTGGAGATCACATCCTGTCAAATAACTGACGCCTTCCCTTGTCTCTTTTGTAGAAAGACTTTGAATTCTGTAAAGAAGTTGTATATTGTAAAACAAATAATTCCAAATTGAGGTCTTACAAGAGGCCTAGCAAAATAAACACTCACCTGATGTACAGCCAATAAAAAAAATTTACTTAGTAAAGACTGGTTGCACAGTTCTGATAGAACGTTTCAAGCTATTCTAAACCACAATTTTGTACATTACAGGGTGAAAGAAATTTCAGTGACCACTTGGCAAAGCAAATAAATATGAAGCATAACCATTCATCTCAATGAAGATTTTGCTTGTCCCATATGACTCACTTTTCCAATATAAAATAGATATTCAACAATATAGCGAAAAATATACCTCCAAATGAATTGGAAAAAAATATTTATCAAACCACTGGTTGATTCATTCCAGAAAATGTCCTCTTCATTAATTTTATACTTATATCAAACTTTTTATGACAATTTGCAACCAGAAGAGACTCACTATTTATAACAAGCATAAATCTTTGGTGATTCAGAAAACAATAGATCTTAGTAAGATTCAAGAGTTTTTTTCAATTCTCACTTTAAATATATACTTATCAGCAGGGACATCCACTTGTCCTTGGTTGGTTTTCACTTTTCAGTTAGACAAGAGTTTTGTTGCACTCTGACAAATGACAATAAAAGTATACTAGTACCTCTTGGCTTTCAATTCTCTCCTTCTCCTTTTAAATTTCTGTGTCATTGAAATGGCCTTCTGTCGTTTTCTTTGGAGATCCCTCAGAATGCACTGTCTTCGAGTATAGTAGCCAGGAGAGAGGCCTAATTTCTTGTTCACCTTTAATAAGGATATAAGAATCCATTATGTACAACTAAATATGCAATACATTCATTAATCTGCTTTTGATTAAAATTTGCAGAATTTTAAAATCTAAGAGATTAATATTCTCACATAACAAAAGTACACACAGTAGAAATATTGTTAGGAATATATGTAATGCAAACAACATACATTATAAAACAAATGGATCATGGGCCTTGATGGTCACCTTTACTACGGCTACTTTGGCCCCGCCCCAAGCTCTAACTTGGGACTAAACTCGCTCCTTTTTTTACCATTGGCCTTGCTGTTTTTCACTTGATCCCCCCCCCCTTTGTAGTACTTATTGTGGCCCCACCCTACCCCAAGGGGTCATGATTTGAACAATTTAGAATCTACACTACCCCAGAATGCTTCCACATAAGTTTCAGCTTTTCTGGCCCAGTGGTTCTTGAGAAGATTTTTAAAGATTTTTACTACATATTTCAATGTAAATCTTGGATTCCCTATTGTGGCCCCACCCTACCCCCCAGGTGTCATGATTTCAACAATTTAGAATCTACACTACCCCAGAATGCTTCCAAATAAGTTTCAGCCTTTCTGGCCCAGTGGTTCTTGAGAAGAAGATATTTAAAGATTTTTACTATATATTTCAATGTAAAACTTGGATTCCCTATTGTGGCCCAGCCCTACCCCCGGGGGTCATGATTTGAACAATCTAGAAACAACACTACCCCAGAATGCTTCCAAATAAGTTTCAGCCTTTCTGGCATAGTGGTTCTTGAGAAGAAGATTTTTAAAGATTTTTACTATATATTTCAATGTAAAACTTGGATTCCCTATTGTGGACCTGCCCTACCCCGGGGGTCATGATTTGAACAACTTAGAATTTACACTACCCCAGGATGCTTCCACATAAGTTTCAGCTTTTCTGGCCCAGTGGTTCTTGAGAAGAAGATTTTTTAATGACCCCACCCAATTTTTGTATTTTCTTGATTATCTCCCCTTTGAAGAGAACTTGGCCCTTCATTTTAACAATTTAAGCTCTTCTTCACCCAAGGATGCTTTGTACCAAGTTTGGTTAAAATTGGCCCAGTGGTTCTTGAGAAGAAGTTGAAAACGTGAAAAGTTTACAGATGGATGGAGAGACGGATGACGGACAACGGGTGATCAGAAAAGCTCACTTGAGCTAAAAATTAACATACCTTTATAAGATATCTGTGACCTTCATTTTTCTGAGCTACACACGCAGCAACTCTATATCTGAGGCTTGAAGAGGAGCTGTAATGATGGGTCTTTGGGGCTTTTGCAGACACCATTCTGTTAAAACTCTCATTTGATTGCGTGCTTCCTAAACATGAAAGACGATCAGAATGACTTGCATATGAACTGAAAACTTCTTTGAGATCATCCTGAAGGAACCTATCTTTGAGCGGTTTTCCATGTGGAAGAGACTTGTAGCGCAGGTTAGGGTTGTCGATGAACTTGCACCACCGTGCGGAGCAGTGTTCGTGATCTCCAAAGATGTGGTATGGTATTGATGAGAGGTCTTCTTGGATTTGAAGAGCATTTCCTTTTCCCTGTGCTATGGAGTAACTGAAGCACTTTTGAATATACTTTATAACAGACAAAGTTAGAGATGAATGTTCTTTCTTCAAGGTAAACAAAGAGTTTGTAAACAGTTTCTTCAGATGATTTTTATCAGACAACTTCTTGATATTAGCATTGACATTAGTTTTTAATCTTGCTATTGTGGTGGTATCCTCATCTCCTATGATTCCGTCAATGGTTATTCCTTCACTTTTCTGTAAATCTTCTACCATCTCAATAACCATATCTGCCTCCATGGCCTTTGAACTTCCCTCCCAGTTCTTTGAGCACTCATGGGCTGCTGGATTCTTGTTGGTTGTTTCAGCTACACTGCATACTCTGCAATTCTTTGACCTCACAGAATATGACAATACTTTGCCAGAGAGAGGGCCAACCATGGAACAATGACCTAAAAAAGTACATATTTTGAAGTAAAAGAAAAATTTAACACCCAATTTCAAAACAATGCCAATGGGTTATCACACTTTAGAAGATAATCTATACAAAAGTTTTTCCTTTCTTTATTCCTCTGAATAAAATTCACCTAATATTGCTAATGAGAGTGCTTGCATATTGATTTGACTCATTAAGGCTCTTCCTTAATGAGTTTTTTCCTATAAATTCCCATGTAAAAATTATATCCCTTTTTGTGGCTCCATCTTACCCCCTTGGGGCCATAGTTCAAACAAAATTGAATATGCTTTACCTGAGCATGCTTGTATCTATACATGACTACTAATGGCTGTTCTTTGGAAGAATATTTTAAAATTTCAATGTACAGTTGAACTTTGGGATACATGTATCTTTTTCATAAAATGTTTCTTTCTTTCTATCATATAAATCCCCGATATCTTAACCATGTATTCATGGTACAGGTGTGGATTTAAAACACTCTTTTTGAGGTAAACTAAATAAATATCGAAGGCATGGTGCCTGAAGATTTCTTGAATATCAATAGATAATCAATAGATAATCAGGGTCATATTGACATCGCTGCAATATGCCATACACATATTCGAATTTCTAGAGAGGGAGAGAGAGATGTCAACAATGATGCCGATCGATAGCCCCACCTCCTATAAATTTGATTACGTGACCTAAAAACCACTCCGGGTACATGCCAAATTCCGGAAGACGACACTAATGTATCGTTGCTTCAATTTTGATTCATGGCAAAAGGCCTTGCTTTTGTACAAATGTTCTACCTAATATAACCATGTATACGTAACTCTTTCTATTGCTTGCAATATATTTTGGATTCACTTCATTTACAGCTTGGTAGAGGAATTGCAAAAAGATCCAAAGGGCGTTAACTCCACCCATTCTTTACTGCATCTGTTTGCATACATATTTATTGGAATCATGTCCTGAGCAAAATTAATGCATAATTCATGGGGGACGCAGGCCAAAATAAATCACTCTATGCATTAATATTTGTTTCATTTTCCTAAAATTTGTCTATTTTTACCTGACAAACTATCATATGTCTTTCCACTTCCCCGTTTTTGCCATCCAGCATCTACAGCAACAACTAGTCCCTTTTCATTCATCTCTCTGAAAGATAGTTAAATAACAGACATCAGTTATTAGCCTGTGAACCTGTCTCCTTTAGAACACCTCCCTAATATGCATAACAATCTGCATATTTATCAGCACTAATTATGCAGTAGATGACTAAAACTAACATTTATAAGTATATCTAGTAACTGCGAAGCAGTATATAAAAAGTCATAAACTGTTCCAACCCAAGTTATACCAGTATATGTAGCTATTAAATTCACTCCTTATAATTTAATTTTTTAAATCAATAAGACAATTTCTCCTTCAGAAATGCCTTCGAATTGCACATATTTTAAAAGTAACACCAAGCGGATTGATACGTTTTTGACGTACATTAAGTCATTGTGACGTAGGCAACACAGGTTATACCATAAAAACTAAAATTTTTTATCCAATCAAATAATGCGTTACAACCAAAATTAAATTTTTTATAAATATTTTGACTCCATGCGGTGGACCAAAATGTAGACTAAAGGAGTTATATGATTTATTCAAAGTTTAATCAACACAACATTGGGATGCTTCAATATAAATATGATCAACATGGTCCTGCTGGTTTTTTTTCCTTTACACATGCATTATGTAAAATTTGACTGCTCTGATTTTGGCTCAACTCTAACCCCAGTGCTAATAATTTTTTTTTAAAAATCTACTCTTCACATCTTAGATATGTGTTAGTAATTTATAGGATTTAGTGTGATCTTGCAACTCTATCTTATGTACTCCTTTATAAAACTCTAATCCGCTATTGTAGTCTCAACCTAATTTAAAAAAAAAAAACATTTTTCCTATATATTCTTGAATAAAATTTGATCACCTTTTGTAAAAACCCTAGTCCTGGGGGGTCATGATTTTTACACTATGTAATGAAGCTAGCTTTCACATAAATTTCCTCTTTCCTGGCCAAGTGGTTCTTAAAGAAGACTTTTAAAACATAACATTAAATTTTCTCTAATTATTAATTATCTCCCTTTTAAAGAAAACATGACTCTTCATTTGAACAAACTTGAATCCTGACCTTTCATTTGCACAAACTTGAATCCCTTTACCCAGAGATGCTTTGTGGCAAGTACGGTCGAAATTGGTTTGTGTGGAGAAGTCGAAAATGTGAGAAGTTAACAGATGACCACTACACATGGTTGCTGGACACCCTTTGATCAGAAAAGCTCAATTGAGCCTTTGGCTCAGTTGAGCTAAAAAGTGAGATTTTAAACTGAATTTATATTGTATACACACTCATTCATCATTCCCAGTTCCTTCTGCAAAGCATTAGACATAGACTCTGCAGCAACATCTTGGACAGCTCTGCCAATCTCTTTCTGTCTATTGTCTAGCATGGCATGACTAACAGGTGGTATATTCAGCTCAGAAAGGAGACTGTTAACTTGAGTTACACCAATGCCAAACATGTACCATTGCTGTAAATACAAATTCAAAAATGAAAAAAAAAATATCAATCTAATTAAAACAAGAGGCTCTTGAACCACAACACTCACCCGAGTCTCATTTTTCTCTGTATTCCCAGGAAATAAAAAAAAAAAGATCCATACTGTACTCAAACCCCCAAGGGGTAATGGCTACCAAACTTAAATTGATCTACATAACATTGGGATGATTCAATATCAATATGATTAATACGGTTATATGGCTTTGCTCTTCTACAGAGAAGATGATTTTTAATTTTTAAAGATTTTTTCCATGTACTATTGCATTATGTAAAATCTGTTAAGTCCAGTGGTTCAGAGAACAAATCTAAACAAGAAGTCTGTGAGCCAATGCTCACTAGTAATACCCCTGCTCTGATGTAAATATATGTTCTCATGTAGAAACACAGATATAGAGAATTTACGGATATAGTGAAGTTTTTTGGAATCCCCAGCAAAATTCTTAACAAATCCTAAGAAAATATTACAGCTATAACAAACTCTGATATAACGAATTTACAGATATAGCAAACTGATTTTGTGTCCCGTAGAGATTAAAAATAATAAAAATTACATTTTTTATAATGAATTTTTATAATGAATTGCAAATTCAATATATATACTTTAACAAATTCGTAATACAGATATAACGAATTACGGATATAGCGAAGTAATTTCACAGGTCCCTTGGACTTTGCTATAACTGAGTTTTACTGTATATACACAAGTTCAGTTGCGACAGAAATTTGGTATGGACAGACGCATGGATAAACAGGAAGTAGACATCTGATTCGTATAAAAATGAATCTTACCATATTGCATGCGAAAACAAGAGCACCGCTAAGTGGAGCATCCCCTCACAGAGGAACTTCACCAGTAATGGTAATGTCTCCATACGAGAGAATAATTCTCAAGAGGGATGTTAAGAAAGATACAATCACCTAGTTATCAAGGGCACCCACTATTACTATATAAAGTTTACAATAAGGTAAAGTACATAAAATGTATTGCAACACTAATTAATTTTTTAACAAAAGTCAAAGTTGATATTATCTTGGGGGGGGGGGGGGATGGGGGATCCATTTTTAACAAAAATTAAAAGTGCATATCATATTGGTGGGGAGAGGTGGGGGCATAACATGCATACGTAATTGGGCAGTTTCCCTTATTCCTAGCAGAAACATATCACGTATGCTCTAAGTTTCAGTAATTTACCTATGCAATATGGATAAAATCTGAGAATACCTGTGGAAGCAATATTTTTTCGTAATGAAAAATAACAATATGTCAGTGTTGAGAGGTCAATGAAACTTGCGAAATGTCTTTATAGCTTTCAGAAGAAATAAGGATAAATTCTATATTGTAAACAGACACATGTGGAAATTTAATAATGAAACTGCAACGTTCATCAAATTATTTCAATTACTCAGTGTCAGAGATGACACTTTTAATTCAGACAGATTGTCTCAAGATACGCACAATAATATGACAATATAAATATGCAAATACATAGTAGAACTTACTGAAGCGAGTCTATCGAAGCGATCCGAATTTACCAGTTTGATTAACAGGAAGTGAGTATTGTCAAGTCGTATATAAAATTTCAGGGCTTGAAGGTACGCAATATTTAAAGAAATATTTCACTGATTAACTTGAAAATGAATAGGATTTGTCCTTTCACAATCCCACATAAGTATGTGGAAGCTGAGATTTGATAGTACAAAGGTTCTCCTTAAATCTTGTTAACAAGCTGTAACGGACACACTAACACACACACAAACACACACATATATGCACAGTAGCGATGCTATATCCTCTCCGCAACTAGCTGCGCGAGGGGATAACAAAGAGTGTGCTAAAAACACAAGGGTAAAACAGTTTACCCCCCTCTCCTTTGGAGCAGGGGTATAATTTTGTAAAGTTAACAGACAGACAGATAAATGGAAAAACTTAGATCAGAAAGCTCAAATGAGCCTCTGGCTTCAATAAGTTAAAAATGGCTTCTCAACAAGTTTTTATTCTGAACTAAACATTTAATATATATATATATATAAATTCTTTCAAGTTCATGCAAAACAAGTGGCACTTATGAAATCTTTGAACAATGGGGAAAAACCTATACGTACAAAAATGAGCTAAAATTTAATTAGGCTCTTGTGACCTGACAAAAATTAATATATGTGTATCTGATGTAGGGGATGTGTAAGTGAAACTTCTCACCTGCTGATAGTTTTGTATTTACATCCCACACTTTTCCATGTTTTTTCCCCGTTTTTACATGGTTAATATGATTACACTTTGTATTGCTGCAACAGACCTGAAATGTGAATGTAAAACCAATGAATCCCCAGTTACAGGTCACTGTAATAAATTCATTCACCGTTAATGAATATCAAATGCTGGGGAAAAAAAGAATTTCAATATGCATCATTTCAAATATGATAAAAAAAATATTGTAAAACCTTTCAAAACTTTTAATAAGGACATGGAATAATGCCTATTTTACATTGAGAAAAATCCATGAAAAAAAACCTTTCAAGCTTTCAAAGTTGTTTTCTAACTAACTGGACATAAATTTATGAGTTTATACCTTTAACAAAGAAGCTAAACCATGTGTCAGTACAGAAATTGTGTGTGAAAGTTGCAATGGTAAGCCACATTTACAACATCCCCGCAAGCCCTCAGCTAACACTCCAAGTTCTACCACTCTCCTTCCCTCCTTCCAATCCTCAGATGTAGTCACTTCTCCCCCATCCACCACCTCCTCTCTTTCCAGTATATTTAAATTTGGCAATTCTATTAATAAAGAATGAATAAATAAAAATTATCACCAGGATACACATAACGTTCTTTACTATCTACACATGCTGACAAGTTGACTACTTTTGATACACTTACAACAGTTCATAGTGCCGATATACAGCATATTTTTGACATTTAAGATGTAAGTATATGCTATTTAGCATGTGCATATATGCATAACAAAATTCATGCATTCATGGTGTTGGGATAGTTAACTTGACAGGGTTGTGCATCCAAGTTCTGCTGTTTTGTTCCATTTTACTAAGAAGTAACACAATATAAACAATTTATTTCTATTATTATGGTTTTGGGCCAGTCTTTTTAAAATTTACTGGCCCAATGTGACAGTGAAAGTACTAGACTGCTGAGTTAAAAAATTGACCAGTAAAAATTTAAGCGATAGCCTGAGTGGCCAGTGAAAAAAAAAGTAATTATTTTTAGTCCTGGACCTGTTATAAGATAAATAAACCATCCTGATCAGTGGCGGATCCAGGAATTGCATAACAGCGGGGCGCAGTAGAAGGCAGGGGGTATGGGGTACTGCATTGACCCCCAGTGGGTCTAGGGCAAAGCCCTGGTGGGTGCCTGGAAACTGATGAATTCTTACAAATAAGAGATGTTTTTTCCTTGATTTTAGGATAATGGACATAAAAGTTCTACATACAAAAAATTCAAAAGGGGGGGGGGGGCTGGCCCTGTATCCACCTTTGCTGATAGAGATTTCCAAAGTTTCTCCAAATATGTTGTTGAAATCCATTTTATTTGTTTTCAATCTCTTATTTGCTATGACATCTCAACCACACATACATGATGACACAGCCTATTCACACTGTGTTACAAAAATACAAACAATTAATGAATAAAGGTAAAGGGAAAATCAAAGAAAATGTAACAACAGAAAATTCAATGTTTTGTAGTTGTATATGGAATTTATTTCAATCATGAGACAGGATTTTTTTTTAAAAATAGATTTTCATTTGTGTTTTCAAAGACACTTGTGAAAATATAAAAAAAATCCTATCCCACTAGTGAAATAAATTCCATATTCAGCTACAAAACATTAATCATCCGCTATGTATCATGATACACTGGAACTGCATCTCAGTATTGTGATAAATATTGTGAGATTTCACCTTTCATACATTTTTGCATAATTTGTGTCAATCTGTTTTGTAATGTAACTTTCCATCACAATGTGAAGGGATCAAATGAGTATATTATTTCATCAAGCTTTAACATTTTATAATCTTTGAACCACAGCAATGAACAGCAAAAGTAAATTAAAAAAATATATATCTTATATATATTTATTACATGTAGGTTAAACTATAAAAAAAATTAACATATAGGCCTATGACTTAAAATGTTATAAGGACTAGAACGGCGCACTGTAATGGACATCATGTGCCTTCCTTTAATATTTCTAAGATAGATCTAACATAGATGCAGATGTGCAAACTGGTTTTTTTTTTTTAGATATGATACACGTATGTATACAAACCTTGATCATGATCAATGTTAACAGGAGTTGCACTGGCGGAGTAATTGTGGTCTCTAAGAATAGCTCCCCTAATCCATCGGGTCAATTGCCCTGCAGATACTTTTTCATATCTCTCCTTCTTCGTTTTCGAAACGAACCCATGGCGTCTGTACTTTGGTTTCACCATCTTAACCAAAGTTTACGCGCCGAACGTTACTTCACGTCTGCTTTTTACTTACATTATCGTAATCCGTCTCAAATGTCTTAATTTTCCGCGAAATATAAAATAGTTATTATATGTTTTCTTCTGGCACAAAAATCAATATTATGTTACTTTCTACGGATAATTATTATAATTACTTAAAATAAACTATTATTTTTCTGTCATACTGAATTCTTTATTAAAACGACATTCAGACCAATTTCCGGCAGTTCGAGTTGCGCGGTGTATTCAAATTCGTCAGAAGCGAAACACCTTAAGTGTTCTGGTCCTGGCCAGGGCTCTATTAATTTGTATTCTACTGAGTGAAGTTATTCCCCTTTGCCATTCACCTTTGATAATTAATCACTGTAGATAAAGTATTTGAAAGGTTAATAGAATAAGAGAATTATGCAAGAACACTTATTGTATAATACAGAAAGTACTTTCTTAGTCTAAATGATCAGGTAGACTTGGAAATAATACATGA